ATATATATATATATATATATACACAGGTGTCCCAAAATTCAACGATAAAAACTGTAAAGATGTATAGCCAGATCGATAACTACAGGAGGGAAAATACTAAAAAAATCCAACTTTTTTTTGTTTAAAAGTTGTATTAACTTTTGTCACTTCTCTTATAATTTGATACCTGGCTACAAATGTGCAATTTTTTTGTGTTAGGTACCTAAATAACTTAGCTATTAATTAAGATAAAAATTGGACTAAAACATTAGTGATTTAAACACAAAAAATAATTAACAAAATTTTTTAAAAATAATTATTTACAATTAACCCAAAAATTAAAATTGACTAAAGAAGTTTAGGGTAATACGTACATTTGCTGTGGCTTAAGTGTTTTTCATAGGGCGCGAAGGTGTATTCGGGAAGATCTCCGACCTCCACCTTCCACTCGATCTTACGGCAGTCCAACGTAGGCAGCTGCCTGAGGAACGCCATCTCTCGGCACACCCACGCATTACGTCAGAACTTCCAAGTAGCACTTCACTATCACAGTTTGTTTAATGTTTACAATCTATTACATGTACTTCGTTAGTTCTCTGGGGTTATAGTGTACACTACGTAGTAATATAATTCAAGCAGGTCAATATAAAATATATGAGTTTCGAAAATTGAGGTATTAATAAGTATACTAGGTAGATAGTCTCTTGTTACCTACTTAGTTTCCGTCATCGTATCCTCATCGACAAAATTTGTATAATTTGTATAATCTTATACTAATTTTGAAATCATTGACACTATACAATGTCAGATGTGGCAACGGGTACCGGCACCGACACGATTTCATCATCATCTTCATCGCTACCAGTTACATTGTAATATATACAACATAATACATAATACAACATATATACAAAAGGCAGTTAAATGGTTTTGAATAAAAGAGTCTCTCAAGATTTTGCTAGCATTTTATACGTAAAAAAATGCAGTCACTTACTCTTCTATGGAATGTTTGAGAACAAAACATGCCGATTAATTCAATAGCGCTCCTGATCAGATTAGTTTTAGAGTTTTAGATACTTCTCCTCCAGCGTGCGACGACGACCCTAAGTGTGCGCTATGCGAGCCATTTCCTTCTTGCATGATATCACTATAGTAACCACATGACGCCATAGAGTTTGTATCTCTTAATACAAAAAGGTGGACAGAGTCGCGCGGCAGTGTTATCATTTGTGCAACGGCACGTCGGCGTGCACTTTTGCAGCGGGTACCGGCGAGGGTCGACATAGGAGCTGCGCCCTACCAAGGTTAACGCGACGAGGCTCGCCTAAAAATAGCCGCGCACGAACAAGTAAATAAACAGCGCAAATAAAACTTGCGCTTGCGCATTGGCCGCAACAGGCGAAAGTGAGAGGGCGCTGGCGTCCCCGCATGGCTCGCTCCCGACACACGAGCACGAGTCACTCGCCCTCGCCTTGCTCTTACTTGCAACTTGCCGCGGCTTCGTCCGGGTCGCAAAGAATATACATCTAATCGCTTTTCTGTTACGTCACGTCAGTAGTATCAGTCTTCCCGGCATCAGAGTTGATAATTCGATTACAATTATTTTTGTGATCATGATATCTACTTTGTAAAAGGCAATTCCAATCTACATTAAATTCTCGTCATTACCAAAACATTTATTTGGATAAGGATTTTTAAAGCAAATAAATAGCGCCGAAGCGTTTTAATTGCTTATTATACGAAAAGTATCCTTTATCGTCGTCCTCTCATGGCGGCGACTTGACTGGGGCCCCGCGCCCGCTTCAGCGCTCGCGCCCGCGCCCGCGCCCGCGCCCGCGCCCGTACTGGTATGTTATTTGTTTGTGTGGCTTTACCCTACGGCTATTGTCATTTTTCTATTTCATTAGTTATTACACATCTGAAGTATGCAGTATTTTACTTACGAATGTACCTGATATGGAAATAACATCCTTAAATTGTTAAATTGAATTTTCGCGTTGTCGCGATAAAATGTCGATATTGCGACAATTATCACTTTGTTATAATCATACAATACATATATAATATTTTGTTCCCCAGTAAACTTTCGAAGACGAATGCAAGTTAAGAGCGAGTATAAACAAAATGAACAACTATCACAGCACCGAAACACAGTTAACAAACATAAATAAGTACATTGCTTTATCAGAGCCTGCTCCGCTCCGTATCTAGGTCGATATGAACAAATAAATAATTACTAATCACCGACATAGTAAAGCGAGACGTTTGCGATAGTCAGATGGCACTCGCGAGTGCGACCGAATGCGGCACGACAGCGACTGTCAGTGCACGGACGGCGACTGCCAGCTGCCAGCTGTCTTTTCGGCTGACTCGGAGTCCGGCGCGTCCACGACGCTGCCGGCCGCAATCGACGTCGACGCGATGCGATTGCTAGCTAGAACTACCCAGCCTCGATTAAGTGCTGTCCTCACAGAACGCAATGACTTAACACCAAAGAGAAACAATAAAACTTCATACATTCACTTGACATACTTTGTTAAGTTCGCTCTTCAATGTTCGTGAATTTTGCTTTGTGGGATACCTATATAGACACACATGAGACAAACTAACACACAAATATAACGAAAATAAAAATACTAGGAAGTATACAGTATTGCGAGCTTGTGAGGGCGGGCGGGGGCGGATTTGCCGAGGTGCGAGGCGCGAGGCCGTGGCCGCGACGTCGCAGCCTACCGCCGCGCGGCACCCAGCGGGGCCGTGCGAGGTCGCGCGCCAGTCACTCGCCGGGCCCGGCGCGCGTCCCCGATCTGACATCACATTAAAGCGTTGCTCCTCTTACTCCTATTTATAAACTTATAATTTTTCTTCATGTTTAAAGTCTTTATCAGTAGTTCGTCACCTAAACATTATGAATGGTTTGTGGACTAGTTTCACTCAAGCTGTATTCCTGCTGTTGAAAATTAAATATGAATAGCAGCAGATCGGATGCCTCCACTTCCACCGAGGACATGAAGGTAGGTGGCCCCTGTGTCCACTTATTAGAAGCTGTTGATTTTACACAAGCAACATTGTTGTGATTATAGACGCGTCCGTTGTGCCTGTACTACTTTACGCACCCATTTGGCGTGCTGTCCCCGGAGCCGCCGCGCTTGGCCGCCTTTGTGCCTACCGCGCCAGCAGCCCCCACCGCGCCCGCCGAGTCCTCCGCAACCTACGCGCCCACCGCTTCTACCGCCTTCGACCTGGCCAACTGGGCGCGGATGACGTGGTATATTGTACTTAAGGGTAGTCGGATAGAGTGGGTTCTGTGAACCCCCAATCGGACGTGATAAATTTTATATTTTTTTTGTAAAATGAGTGCATCTAAACAAAGTTTGGGACCCGGCTCGAGTACCTTTTCGCTGGCGCTTCCAGTACCTTCGTCGACTGCTTGACTGCTTCTGTAGCAGCAACTGCAGACGAACCGCACTTGCCGAGTGACGCGAATCTACGTAATGCGGTGACGGGAACTGCACATCGGCCATGAGAACTAAATTACTATATTATATACAAGTTGACACTCGAAATGAGTAAGGCTTCGCAAACCTCGGCGTATCAGAAGCGAATCCTAAGCGTCTCTTATAAACGTAACGGATACGATATGGCGAGTATGTTCTACTGACAGTGCCTCTTCAGTCTTGACATAAATAGTAAGCAGCAATAGCTTCACTGACCGCCGATCACTACTCAGCCGAAAACTATTCAAGCTTTATTGTAAGCATCGTTGTTTGTAATAGTGCCAGTTCCTGGTTCTCCGAGGACATGTGGTCGTGGTATGGTGGGCGAGCAAGCGCGCGCTTGCCGCCGCTGCGCGTGCGCCGCTTGCTCAGCGGCGTCCCAGGAGGCGCGGGAGGCGGGGGGATCGGCGCGCGCACGCCCCCGCGCAGCCGTCGTGCGCTACCACCGCTGCCCGAGCCGCCGCCCATTGCGCCCTCGCTCCGCGCCGCACCTCGCTCGCCGCGGCCCGGCTCGGCTCGTGCGCGGCTATCGCGCAAGATGGCTCGCTCCCTGCACACTACCTTCATACGTATGTCAACTTTTTTGTTAGATTAAAAGTATCACGTATTATTGGTATAGAATGAAATATCGTTCACTTGCTTATGCAAAAGAAACTATTTCAATATTAAAATGGCAATATCTTCTAAGCAGCGGCTGTCAAACATTTTAAGAAACTTTGCATCCTAAGTTTGGTTATTCGTAGATGCCCTAGGATTTGTAATTCTTTTCTTAAGTACCGCGTTCAGTTTGCGTCCTAACTATTTGTAGCTACGTAATATTAATGTTTTGACGTCGTCTTTGAAGTCGTAGCTTTGGAATTTTATTCCATCTTTCAATCAGGGTCTAAAAGTTCCATTCTTGCAAATTCTTCTCCCGAAAGAGGTATGAGCTGTTAAGTTCATGTGTTCGAGATAAAGAGGATTTTTTATGAACCTTATTGAATAAAAGAATTAACGTGAAGAGAACCAAAATTCAAAAGTAAGATGTCAATGTTTGGGTAATACGGAAAGATATGATTTTATTTATAAAGATTTTGTTTTCCGAAATTTATCTTTATATATATAATTCTTCTGTGAGTGTGTATGTCACTGAACTTCTCTCAAACGACTGGACCGATTTTGATGAAATTTTTTGTGTGTGTTCAAGGTGATCTGGGAATGGTTTAGATTCACAATTTTGTCCGCTGGACAATGTTTTTTTTAATTAATTTTTAATTTATTAGTAGTTGTTGATTTTGGAATGTTTTACATTGGATCCGACAGACGGCGCTACCATCGCAGTGTCAAATTTTCAAATTAAAGACGTGTAGACAGGACAACGTCTGTCGGGTCCGCTAGTTTTTATATAATTGTCGACTAAGAACATTTATTATTAAAAGTTACTTTGTTATTGGACATAATTTTATATGAAATGGTTTTTATTTCAAAACCTAAATGAAAAACTAACTGATGATTCGATGGTGCACGACGAAAAAAAAATGACGTCCAACTACTCTAACCCATCGAAGCCAACCGACATATGTACATAGCAACTCGAAAAAGCATTGTGCAAACCCTAAATTCAAATCAGGTCAAACCCGAAGACGTGGCATTCTTAACGTAACCGAACGTCCCATTTTGAACAGGACTCGGTCGAGCCCCGGTGTCCCCGAAAAAAATTCTGGGACACCAAATTGTCACGATTTTCAAACCGCGCAAAAAATTAAGCAGTCGAGTCGACCGATGCGAGTAATGCGCGAGACCGCATCATCTGTCAACCCATATGATATGAGAAAACCCAGTTCAACCTTCAATCCAGTTTTACCTTTTAATTGCCCTAAAGATATCAATGTCCCGCTTTAAGTAAAAAAAAATGGTCACGTTAGACTTTCTGGTCGGTACACAGTGCTTAGTTGCATTTTCAATACTCTTCGTTCTAAAAAAATAGAATACTGAAATGAATGTTGATCTAGTGCTAGTCAGCTTAAGTGAGCTTTTTCTTTTGTGCGTAAAAATGTGCAATAAACAGTTTAATTACATATCGCGAAATTGGCATATGCGACGATGTCGACACGTGAGTATGCAAAACGATACAATTGACACTGAACTGCAAGTGAAGAACTGGTGCACTGCATGGTGGTGGTGTAGTTGTACATCGCAACACATGTGCGGCGCCGCGGCGGGTAGCGGGTAGCGGGCAGCGGGCAGCGCGCAGCGCGCGGGGCAGTCGGCAGGCGCGGTGCGGGCTTACTGCACGTTGTTCGCTGTCGTCAGTGCGAGTGCGAGCGCGAGCGCGAGCGCGAGAGTGGGCCAATGCAGTTCTGAAGTCCCCGCGGGAGTCGAACTCTAACTCAAGTCTCGAAGCGACAGCTCAGTCACTCGCCGCCATTCATCTTACTCACGGACATTCTCATATTGATTTCTGACGCGCAACTATTTTAAGTAGGTAATTATTTGAGTGTAAACTGTAATGATGGAAAACTGCGTAACTGTGCAGGCGAAATTTGTAGATAGTATGTAAACAATTGTAGCAGACCCACAGGCTAAGATTCGGAGCAGAGAGCGCTGTCTTAGAGGGCCGAGGTTCGATCGACTGCTCAACCTCGACAGATGACCTTTTTAAGTGTTGACAAAAGAAAAATAATACATTACTTGTCAGATTATACAATCACGTGACCCCAAAATAATACTTCATTGCTACTCAAGGAAGGCGAGTGTTGCGGGTTGCGGCTGAGTCAACTGCTGTGACGTCACACGGTCGCCTGACCCCTACTTTTTTTAAGAAAATGTGTTCGGAGAAGTACTTCTCTTCTTAGCTCGAAATATTATTCTATTAAGTAAATGTCACGAATTATCTCTCGCAAACTATTCTTGGGCTGCAAAGGAAAATTTAGTTATTGACTAGCGACCGCTCTCAATTTCATCAGCATAAAATTAAAAAAAGTAGCCTATAATATGCCCGTGTGCATCAGTTGTCTTCCTAGCAGTTAGGAACCTCGTAGGAGTCGCTGCGCAGAACATAATTTTAGATGTGGCAAGTGTGAGGGGGTGCGGCGGGAGGGCATTGCGGGTAGATGACCTTGACAGACCAAGATATTTAAGACTTGTACAAATGATTTCAATAGCAGATAAGTACGAACCTTGCAGGCCGGGCCCGGCAGTTGTCAGCAGGAAAACACAAATAGAGTACATTTAATCGTTCATTTGAAGTTGATACGTTTTACGACATACAAAATTGGTTCGTCATTGGCGTACTACAATCCGCGTGTCTCGGAACCGCCGCTTAGAGTTGGAGGTCCTCGCAAAGCTCATTACTTGATCGTGCTGTTAGTCGAGTAGTGGGTCTTGTACTTGTTTGTGTAGTATGCAAGTCAAGTAGAATTGGCAAATTGGTTATCAGAAGATTTATAAGAGTAGGTAATTGGTCGACTAAGTGGTTAAATACTTGGCGTCGTAGTCTTCCGAGAACTAGTATGAGTACCTGGTCGAATATTAGGCAGTATTTATTTAGTCGAGCAGTTAAACCAAAAAAGCATAGAACAAATAAAAACAATTAAAATATACATTTGTACGTGTGTTTATGTCCAGGTGGGCGAGAGGAGCGCAGAGTGCGCGGCAAACACGGCGGCGCGCCCGCGGCCTGGGCGCTGCCGGCGCAGACGCACACTTCGCGGTCAGTACCTCGCCCTCGGTTGCGCACGCTGCTTCCATATATACTCTTAATCGCACTCGCACCAGCTCCCAGGTTCTGACTCACCATCGCGCCAACTTCTGGAGATCATTGATTATGTTCCAAAACAAAACAGTCCTACCGTGAGGTATTCGTGTTGTAGTAACATGAACGACAATTTACTATCTTATTCGTGACTATGTGTTTTTCAATCTACTTTGTTGATTTAATCGATGTCCAAGAACACTGCCTTTTGTCATCCGTTTTTTTTGTACTGTTCACCGATCACCACAGGCCGCATCTTTTTGTTGTCCCGTGGACACTGGAGGACAATTAATCCGCAGATCTGGAGCTCATCCTCCAGAGAGAACCCTAGTCAACACCTGGAGAAACTATATGTGTTTGTAAGCTGACAAAACATCGTCCAATTACGCGAGGGTGGCGCCCTCATAATGAGCCGGCCGTCGTGCTCGGAGCGACGCACCAGCTTTATCTGTGCTGTTCGTATTGTATACGTATACACGGTCACTGAACAAACGACAACGGCTACGACTATGACTTGCATATCACGTCCGCATCTCCTCATGTCTCTTCAACGTAAAGTGAAACATGAGCGTCGCGGTCTGCCGGAATTACATAGAAATTATATATAAGTACATAATTTTTATGCGTTATGTAGTACGTGTATCGTTTGCAACCGGTAAAGTGAAGTTTTTGAGCGTCTGGTGCAGCGCGAAACCTCAAAACAAAAACAAGGAGGATTTCGTCGCTGGACGCGTCGGCCGCAGCGCACTCTCTCATTCTGACAAATTCTAAGTTTAGTCGCAACACATTCAGATGCCTAAGTCAATGCATTCATGTACTAGAGTTCTGTGTGGATCAGCGCTGTGTATAAATAAAACATGCGTTGCACGCTCACACGCTCACACACTCACACGCTCACACGCCGCGCTCACCCGAAACTCTTTATTTACGTTAAAACAGTATTTGACTTTTATGTAAATTCTTCTTCATTGATATGAATACAAGTAGTACACGTAATGCTATTACAGCCTTAAAGTACGCGTCCTTTCGCCCGCGCCGGACGGATTAAACGAATTTGCTTAGACTTTCGATGTGGGCGGCGAAAATGATAGTTTTTTTTTTGTGCTGCTTATTCTGAACTCCGACCATTTAGCGTGGGAGAAATTTTATTTCATATTTTGTAATTTCAAGTCATTATTAATACGGGCTTTCTCTAAGTTGGAAAGATTCGGACGTTATCTAGCAACTACCACTGGCAGGGTAAATATATCAGTGCCGCGGCAGCCGGCGCCCCGTCTCACCCCGCACTCCACCGTCGCAACACGCGTCACCTCGCAGCCTGTACCGGTGTGAATAAAAACTGCGAGCGGCGAATACGTTCGATTACAAAAAATTCATTGTTGCGCGGCAATGGTGTGTGCTGTCGCCGGTTGGTTCCGAGGGCGCGATGAATGTTGCGCGAACTAGCACAACCCTGTACACACTCAATGCGTTCATAATACACGATTATTATTTAAATAATAATTAGTAAAGCTGTACAATCGATAAGTTAGTGAAGCAAGCTAAGGCGCGTCGGACGTGCGCGTCATCGTAACAGTTTGGTTTGTTTTCTCACGTCGTTCGAAGTTGTTCTGAAATAGTTGTTAAAAATGATGTAAAAACTCACAAAACGTGATACAAATATAATTAGTAGCGACTCCCCACGACTTCGCCCTGGTGGCAAAGAATCAGTTTGATCCCTTCCCGGTGATGTCTCGTCCATCAGCAAAAATATTGTTAAAACGCTCTGGCTCACTTTGCGAAATGCTGATACAGATCATAGATTGGGTCGGTCAAATGAAGAAACTGATGGGAATGGGGATTTTCAATTTTCACATATTTACTTACGAGTATACCCAACCTAATGATGTTGACCAATTCCAATTTACAGCTCTGCGATTTAATTATTGTATGTACGTATAATACATACCTTTGCGTGCACAAAATAGTTAGTGGGTAGTTATTAAAATTGTACACTTGTCAAGTATTTTAGAATGTTTTATACGTTTGTATTACATTTGAATCGAGCTGTATGTAGATATAACAAAAAGTAGGTATTAGACTCAATGGGAAAGCACATAACTAATACAAAATATGTAAATAGCTTTCATATTTGCAATGATGCGCTCCGTTTGCCGGAGCCCGTGTGTCCGCCGCCCGCTGCCCGCTGCCGCATCTCTGCGTCCGGTGGAGCGCGACCGGCTCGAGCATTTATTGCAATTTAATCGAGTGGTTAAGATTGCGTAGAGCGTGCCTGTGGAGGGTGTGCTGTGTGCATTATGCTTTAACTTCTGTCAGTAGCTGTTTGGGGTGAAAGAAATACTTATTTTATGCATAACTAGCGGTCGCACGCAACTCCGTCCGCGTGTAATTTAAAAAAAAAACTGCATAATGTACGCCAAATTTCATCAAGATCTGATCTACTATTCTGGAGATACCTTCAAACAAACATCTATCCATCCATCCAAACATTCGCATTGATAATATTAGTAAGATTAAAAAGTTTCATTTACATCTTTCTTACGCAGAAAAGCTACCTGTGATAAGGTTCATAGTAGTGAGAAGGAAGCCGACAGTACGATGAGCTCCTCAGCGGGCCGAGAGAAGACCGCCGCGCCTCCCGGCTTGCTCCACCGCCGCTACTCCGCACCGGAAACTGTCATGCGCAAGTACGTGTCAATAGAAAAAGAAATAATGTGTAACACGTGAGACGAGAGACGTGAGATATCAACGCTGTATTTTTTTTTCTATAGTATTTTGCTCGATTTACCCGGTCGTTCTATCATATGTTGGCGGTCATAAATATGTTAGCTACTTATTATTAATTTGATTTATAGGTATCGCTTGGAGCAACTAAATGCCCAGGAATCGAACAGCATCCTCGAGACGTGCCCCTGCGCCCTGAGCGACGCCGAGGCGGGGTCGGCGCGGCGCGAGCGCGGAGCGACGCGGCGCTCGGCACTCCTTCGCCGGCTGCGCGGCCGCGTCGTCTGCGCCTGCGTCTGTCGCTGCGCGCCCGCTTGCCGCTCACTGGACGCCTCCCGCTCGGAGCTGCGTCCGACCTCAGCCGCTTCGGCCTCCGGACGCACCTCACCTAATCGGTTACGGCTGGAATCGAGCACCACGCCGTCCCGACTCGGCGTCTCGTCCTCCACCGAAAGAGACGCGGCGATTTCATCATTTACCGACACGGACGTCCGAAACGGTTCTGCTTCGGAGACAACTTACAAAGACGTATCGGAAGCCGGGCTTCGACTTTCCGAAATGACGGGTGTCGCAACACCGACCATCAGCACCGCCGGCTCCGGCAGTCGCCCCGACGGAAACTCATTCGCCGATTCGAGCGATACCTTCTCTGTGACTACGTGCACGACGAGAGATGCCGCGCGTAGGGCGCCGAGCTCGGCCGCCGCCGGAGCCGATGAAGTACAGCAACACGACAATGTGACGACGAGACCCCCATCGTACGATATCCTCGAAATCGTCGTGTCGGAATCCGTGGACACTAATTACACTTCAGGCTCCAACGTGTCGTTTTCTGACAATAAACAAAAACGACTGGGAAAACAATCGCCAGACAAATATAAAGACATTTCAGGAGAAAATATTGACGAGTATGTTTCTGGTATATTAGTAGAAAGCTTGAACTCGTTGACGGACCAATTGGAATCTATGAACGCATCCATCGGGGCCAATGGGAAATTGAATATTATCGAAAAGGAGATAAAAATAAAATTACAAAACACGGGGGTGAACACCATAGTGCATTTGAGCCCCACTTCGAACAATCAAATTATATTTGGTCACGAGGAGCTGTGTAGCAGCGACGAGCGCCGCGAGAGGAGCGGCGAACCAGGCGCGCCCCTGCCGGCCCTGCTGAGCCAGCCCGCCGGCGCAGGCCGCCCCGCACTCCCGCACCACTCCGTGGACAACAGAGCGGTCTTACAACAAATACAAAGACTGTTTCAGGACGACTTTCAGTTGTTGGAACGCAATGCGCGTTATTCCAATGAAAGTATGTCGAGCATATCTCACATAGAGATATCAAAGGCGGATGTTTATTTGGAAAACGAACCCGCCTCATATTCCACAACGGCAGAAGTTATCGAAAAGCCTGCGAGCTCCGAGACGTCGGAAGTGATAAGCGGGGTCGGAGCCGGCAACTACTATGAAAACATCGCCGACAATACGCTCGTGGCTCGCTTTTCGGCTTTTCCTCACTCTGAGTCGATGGAAGTAAACACTTCGTCCTCCGAGGATGCCGATCTGCACGGCTCCGAATGTGCGAGTCTCGTGGACAGCTTAGATGATCCCAATTCCCCGCGATCGGTTGCGTTCAGAAAGTCCGCTCGTAGGAGAAGCGAGCTCGTGAGATCCTCCATCGACGTCTTAGATCTGTTGCCCGAAAACGCATATCGAACAGAGAGTGCCGCTTCAAAAGACAAAGGTGAAGCTTTTTTTGTCACGATAAAAGATGACCATTGTGAATGTGACCGTGAAAATAAAGACATCGTAGTAGCGGATCACATGCCGGAAATTATAAAGCAAAGGTTGTACAGGCGACACAGGAATAGAGAACTCCGGCTGGAGCGCGCGCGGCGCAGCAAGGCGCAGCAAATGCGCCGCGAGCTGGCCCACCAGGGCCGCGGCCTTCCGCGCAGCGCCAGGAATGAGGTAGAGCGAGAGGGCATCTCCCTCATTAAATCGTTAATTGACGATGCCATATTAAAAATTGTTCAAGACGAGCTGAAATGTATGAGGATAAAACAAAAGTCGGTCCTGATGGTGTCGGCAAAGTCCGATGAATCCCTATGTCCAAAGAATAGGAAAAATATTAGTCATTGTAAAAAATTATCCAAAAATAATGCATCGCAGTCGTGTTCGGACGGTATAGACAAAAAATATCGTAAAGAAAAATTCCAAATACGAGGAAAACTGTCTCTTCAAGCTTATCCGTCGTCGCAGCTTGATGATAGCAAGTCAAAAAGAATTTATCAGAAGTCCGAAATACACGATGGAAAAAGATGCATTGAAATCTTAGAGATATTAGAGTACGTCAGCAGTTCGGCGAGCTCCCCCGAAACGAGCAACTCCGATGAAAATCTCAGTTCAAAGGTCAAGAAGTCGCGAATCCCTGTCCCAGTATCTGATAGAGTAGCTTCCCAACTCATTCAAACAAGCAAGTGCTCGACCGCTTCCTCTAACGCCACTTCTGCCAGCTTCCCTTACAACGTGGAAAGTATGAGCGCACATTCATCGAGCGCGGCGCGCGATGTCTCCGAGCAGGCGGACGCGCGAGCCGACGGCGCCACGGCCCCGGCCCGCCGGCGCTCCGCCGCGCTCCACTGCGAACCGCGATCTCGTTCGAACTCTCTTCGTTTCAAGCGTGTGTTCGATATGATCCCAGAAGAAAAACCCATTGCGATCGTGGAAACTGGGAGTGAGCATCATATGTATTGCCGCCGGGCGTCGTTACCAACTCTTACCGACGATCCGCTTCATGACGCAGAAGAAAGCCTTAGAAAAAAAAAAGAAGGATCTTTAAATATAAACCGGATGTGTACCGGAGTCGCAGCTGTAAAATCTATTGTGGATTCGACGATCGGGAAAGAGACGAGGAGCGCCGGTACTTCTCCGATGCCCGACAGAGTGGTACATCGCAGTGTGTTAACGCAAACACACGCTGTAGGGTCATCGACATCGCCTAACCGATCTGCAGCTACGAGTCCTATAAGAAACATGTCGATGTCTACGCAGACTCTCTCGCCGCGGCGTAAAAGTTCTCCGAACCAATATCCGAAGATTAAAATTCAACAAGTTTCGCAAAGTTTGCAGCGTCGGCGCGAGCAGTCGCGCCGGCCGTGCGCGCCGCAGCACCCGCGGGCCCGGCAGCCGCCGCCGCCTCCGCCGCCGCCAGGTACCGCGCGCTGGTGCGCGTCGACGTCGCCGCTCGTCCTCGCCTCAGCTTCCTCGATCCCCGTAGAGTAGCCAGCACCGCACAACAACGTACCGACCGTCGCACACTACTATGAGTTAATAACACGAAATCACTCCGCGTCTTACATCGCACTGTACAAGTGTTAATAAATTAAATATTCGAAAGACGTGTTTGTTTCATTTTTACCAAGGTGGAGGTAACGGACGTAGGGAGAAGACGGTTCGACAGGAGGAAGGTTTGCGGCTCCCGCTGTGCGGCGCAGGGTCGGGGGGTGCGGGAGGCACGGCGGACTGCTCCAGCTCCAGTTCGAGCGAGTCGGGCGGGCTGCTGTGCGCGCTGGCGCCGGGCTGGCTGCACGCTCGCCGCCGCCGCCGCCGCCTCGCTGGCGACGCAGGTAGCCGTCCCGCGCCTTCTGGCCAGGGCTACCTTTTGTTTTTCAGGCAGTTTATGGGAACTCCGATGTGATAAATACGGTGAAACCTATTTTGTGGTTATCTCATTCATATCACTTATGATGTACCTAACGGTCATGTCTTGGTATTGCGGCGAGCGAGGTGTTTATAGGAAACGAAGCGATCTTAAGTAGAAGGACGTAATGAGGTCTGGGATGTGTGCAGGGCAGTGGGCGGTGACCGTCGCGGGCTCGTGCCGCGCCGCGCTGCCTACGGACGTCGAGATGCGCCTGCGCTTCCCGGACACCGCGCACGCACCGCGCGCCTGCCCCCCGCCCGCTGCTCAGCCGGCCCAACCTCTTTGCCGCGCCGTACGTCACCCAGTTATACAAATAAATTATCAAATTATGTAGAAATGCGGTTTCTTAGGTAGTCATAGATTTTGGTTAGAATAACAAAGTTTTAATAAATTGTCGCTTCGCAATGGGCATTAAGAGTAACTATGCCATTGAGATCTGTCGCTTAGTTAAGGAGCAAACTTCATTTCGAAACGAATTAGCCAAAAACTTTGTAGTAAATTATGCGTAGCTGAGAATCTTTGTGATGGTGTGGCTATGATATGACGTGGCTCGCTGCAGGAGCGGTGCGTCGGGCGCAGGTCGACGCCGGCCCGCGTCGCGCTTGCGCTTACCAAGGAAGCCTCAGGTTAGCTGCCTACTACTATTTAGATGACTACAAATCAGGATCAGGGTATCACCATGTGGCCTGCCCTTATTTGAAGATACGAGGAAAGTAACCTTACACTTGAGCCGTTTGTTTTTTTTTTTTTTTTTTTTTTTC